AACTATATATATAATATGTATTATATAGATATATATATATATACATATATATATATATAAACATATATATAGATATATATACATATACATATACATATATATATATATATATATAAATATGCAAACACATACAATGTATATACGTACTAACACGTTAAATACTCGTCGATTACATAATTTCAAATTTCAAATTCATCGGTAATGTGGTGTCACCTCTGGCATTGATTCAACCACAAACGAAGTGTAACTGCGATACATATGATCATCCTTGTATTGATCAACAACAAAAGTGGTCACAATAAATAGACATATAGGTGGCAAAAACAATCACAATAAATAGACATACATGTAGCGAAAACAATACATACTATACACACATGCAGGCAACATTAACACATACGACAGATATAGACATGCTGGTAACAATAAAAATATATGCAAAACAATGCATGCCGCAGCTATATATATACGCATGCAATGCAATCGATTGCTCGCATAGAACCACTACCAAAAAAAATTAGGAGGACCTTCAGTCGCAGGTACGATCACCACAGCAGGTGGCTTACCCTAAAATCCTACAATCCAGATCGTAAGGTGTTCTGTTTCTGACAATAATTCAATGCCATTGAAAGATACTAATATTTATAGGAATAATATATATAGGAATAATATATATAGGAATATTATATGTAGGAATATATATAGGAATAATATATATAGAGGAATAATATATAAGTAGGAATAATTTATATAGGAATAATATATATAGGAATATTATATATAAGAATATATATAGGAATAATGGGATGTTCTGCATAAATACGGAATACTTGTATCAAAGTATAATCACCTACCCATCCTTATTGAATCCAGTAAGTCACCCTTCAATTTCAGGTGCGGCGAGCCCCCACAACCACAACCACAACCACAACCACAGCCGCGGCTTCAGTGCTACCGCATACCTTGAGTTCCACCGCTTTCTAGTAGAGACATAGATAGGTAGCTGCAAACATATGATACAAAGATGTATATGATGTACACTTGTATATACATATGGTTACAGGTTGCTTGTACTAGATTCTAGACTATAAACACCCACTCACCCGCTATCAAGTCTGTGAGAGATCCGTCCGTTACGGGTGCGTTCACCTCGTCGGCTGGCTCGGTCGCAGCCACAGCCGCAGGTACAGGGTTCATTGCAGGCCTTGGAGAGTTCTGTCTCTTGTAAGGGGAAGACGAACGATGCTTGCGATCACGTGCGGCATTCCTGGACATACTCACACCACGCATACGGGGTGTGAGGGT